TAGGGTTTAGGGTTTAGGGTTTAGGTTTAGGGTTTAGGGTTTAGGGTTTAGGGTTTAGGGCTTGTGGTTTAGGGAATTTAATAGAACAAATACTGAAGGTCCCTCCCCATATGGTGGTGCGGCTGCCCATGGGCCAGCCCGTGAAGGTCCAGGGGGTTTACGTGACTCTAATAGAGGCCAACCACTGTCCCGGTAAACCCAAAACCCTAAACCCTAAACCCTAAACCCTAGGTGGGGCTTGTCGAAGCGCTGGAAGAAACTCTCAGCCCTCCAGGCCGCGTAGCTGCGCTGCACGCAGAGCTGTTTTCGGGGCTGAAACTGGGGCCTAGGGTTTAGGGTCTAGGGTTTAGGGTTTAGGGTTTAGGGTTTGGGCCTTCTCAGGAGCTGTGATGTTTCTCTTTGAGGGCCCCGGCGTGGGCCGCTCGCTGCACTGCGGGGACTTTCGCTACTGCCCCTCGATGTTGCAAACCCTAAACCCTAAACCCCCGCCGGGCCCAGAGGCCCAAACCCTATACCCTAAACCCTCGGGCCCCGAGTCCCAAACCCTAAACCCTAAACCCTCGCTCGACAGGGTTTATCTCGACACAACTTACGCTGGCATCAAAGCCTCTTTTCCTCCGCAGCAAGAGGTTTTATCTGCTGCTGTGCAGATAGCCACGCAGGTGCGCCCTATTTTTTAGGGTTTAGGGTTTAGGGTTTAGGGTTTTGGGAGTGCGGACTCGGCCTGCTTGGAGCTGTGGAGACCACCAAACCCTAAACCCTAAACCCTAAACCCTAAACCCTAAACTGCTCCGCTGCTTCGCTTCAGGCACTACAGGAGGCCGGGGGTGCTGCCAATGTGCGCTTCTTGGTTGGCACCTATACCATAGGTCCGTCTAGGGCTTAGGGTTTAGGGTTTAGGGTTTAGGGTTTAGCTCAAGGATTCAGGGTTTAGGATTTAGGGTTTGCCGCTTCCACTGGCTCCACTAGGCACTGAGAAGGAGCAACGCCAGCCACCAGGGACTCTGGGGTTACGGTTAAGGGTTCAGGGTTTAGGGTTTAGGGTTTAGGGTTTAGGGTTTGTGAACAGGCAAGGAACGCATAGCGCTGCATTTGGCTCGGGAGTGCCGCTTGAGGGTTTTCGTGGCGCCGCAGCGACGGCGGGTTTTCAACTGCCTTGAATTCTCTCCAGAGGTCGAAAACCCTAAACCCTAAACCCTAAACCCTAGGCAATAAGCTCCCGGGGACAGCTATCTTCCGGGTGCGAATTCGGTGCAAAGAGCGGCGACATTATGAGTGCTTTGTTGCAGATGGCTAGCGCTTGAGGCCAAGGGTTTAGGGTTTAGGATTGGGGTTTAGGGTTTAGGGTTTAGGATTGGGGTTTAGGGTTTAGGGTTTAGGATTGGGGTTTAGGTTTTACGGTTTAGGGTTTAGGGTTTGCGGGGTACAGGACCTGGCGCTTTTTACGGATTCTCCACAAGAGGCGCAGGTGGATTTGGTGCCGATGAATGTCTGTGGTAAACCCTAAACCCTAAACCCCAAACACCAAACCCCAAACCCTAAACCCCAAACCCTAAACCCTAAACCCCAAACCCTAAACCATCAAATACTAAACCCTAGAACGCTGAACTCCCCTTGATGAGCCGTGCCCTCACGGGCTTTCTTCCTTCAGAGAAGCAGCGCCAAACCCTCCACAGATCCGAATTAGGGTTTAGAGTTTACGGTTTAGGGTTTAGGGTTTGGAATCTGCAGGGTCGACATTTCCCCCGCGGGGAAACTTCGACGGAATTCGCCGCTATCTTCAAACCCTCGGCATTCCTGAGTCAACGCGCGTTGTGGGTAGGTCTAGGGTTTAGGGTTTAGGGTTTAGGGTTTACAGTTGGGATGCAGCTCCGGACAAACCCTCTTTCCAAGCTCTTCAGACCAGGGCCGTGAAGCAATAGTAAAGAGTTTGCTCTTTAGGGTCAGGTCTAACTGTGTAGGGTTTAGGGTTTAGGGTTTAGGGTTTAGGGTTTGTGTGTTGTAGCTTTTGTGGGGACTGGATGGGCCGCTCGACTGAAAAAGACCTCCCTGTGAGACAGTTGAAAAGACTTTAAAAATTAGGGTTTAGGGTTTACGGTTTTGATACGCTGGGCTAGTTATAAGCTGCAGGGACTGCAAACCCTAAACCCTAAACCCTAAAAACCTGTGAGGTGCGCCCGAGAGGTGATGCTGTGATGCTGCCGCCACAAACCCTAAACCCTAAACCCTAAACCCTCGTTTTGTGCTGCAGCGAGCAAGGGCCCCTCTGCATTCGCTTTTTGCCCTACAGCGAACACTCGAGTTGCGCAGAGCTGGTGGAGTTCCTGCAGGGTCTAAACCCTAAAGAAGTGGTGCCTAAACCCTAAACCCTAAACCCTAGATTGTGAGGCTCAGTGCTGAGGCGCAGGCATGAAGGAGGCCGGCACTGACAGCTGCGGAGTCGCCACTCCTGCACCCAAATTAGGGTTTAGGGTTTTCAAATTAGGGTTGCAAAATTAGGGTTTAGGGTTTAGGGTTTGTGTGCGCAGATACCTACGGTGTGTGAAGGCGAGGATTCCTACAACCGCCTTTACTGCTTCTTCAACGGACTGGTGCGGCCTCGACTCCTAAACCCTAAACCCTAAACCCTAAAATGTAGAAACTGGGAGGAACTGCCGTCCGACTAAACAACAACAATAACTAAAATAGTAAATAATAATGAATAATTAGTAATAATAAATGATAATAAATAATAAATAATAAATAATATTAACAAAAAAGAAATAATAAAAATTGACTAGAATCACAAATGCCCGCTGCAGCAGCTCCGGTGTCTGCGCAGCTTTCAGGTGTACGTACACCCCAGGAGCTGCCAGGCAAGGAAGAGAAAACAGCAGCAGCAGCAGCAGCAGCAGGAGCTGCAGCAGCAGCAGCAGCAGCAGGGAGCTGCTTTTCAGAGACGCAGCAGCGACTGAAGAGGCCCTTCGTAACAGCAGCAGCAGCAGCAGCAGCGGGAGCAGCACCAGCAGCAGCAAACAGAACAAAACGAGTTTCCTTGACTCAAACAACTATAACTGCTTTCTTCAAAAATGAAATTCGACAAAAAAATAAAATGCAAAAAAGAGAAACAAAAGGAAAACAAATGCTTCCAAACGGGGAGCCCATCCTCCTCAGTGACTGATCTGCCCGCAGCAGCAGCAGCAGCAGCAGCAGCGACAGCAGCAGCAGCAGCAAAGTGTGCCACTTGTTTTGGGAAACACTAACGGTGAAAGCATTTCCTATGAGGGGCCCCAAACCCTTCTTTAATTTTTTGAGTACTATTTGATCCAATTTGTTCGATTAGCAGCAGCAGCAGCAGCAGCAGCAACAGCAGCAGCAGCAACAC